ATTAAGGACTGTCAGCTTATATACTTTTTCGTAATCAATTGAACAACTGTTATTATTTTTGTTTAATTTCGAATTTAGACTTCCAAGTAAAACCTTATCACGGTTTTTTGTTTAAAAAAAATGTGTCCACGTTATTCTCTTTTTTTCAAATTATTTTTCAGTGTTTTGGTAATAAGGTAAAGCCTTAAAGTTAAATCGTTTATTCTTTACATTATACTAATTGTTTTTTTTACAAATAATTATAATAATAACTAAGGGCTTCAGACATTTATTTTAATCGTGTCATACTTTCACAGTTTTGTGTTGATTTTTAATCAAATTACTGTTATTTAGTTTTTTAATTATAACGTGTGCCGTTGAATAGTCTGAAAACGTGAAAAGTCTACCTTGATTTTAAGAGTTTTTTTATAATAAACGTGAAAACAAGTTAAACAAAATCTATTCAGTGTTTCATAAACATGAAAGTATGCATTATAACTTATACTATGTACTATGTAAGTACCAGCGTGAATTATAACACCATATACTTATAATAAACAACGAACTTGCTCAGACCAAATTAAATTCGAGAAATTATGCATTCTTTATAAGCATGCCATTTTTTTTATAAAATAATAATTTATTCGGGAGACGAAGTTATTGTTTTATTAATTTTTATTGTGATGGTGTACTTATATTATTTATACCTATCTAATTTGTCATACAAGTTTAAGACCTCTATAATAAATTGCATTGCAACGGCTCGACCGATATTTAAAAAAACAAACAACAACAACATTACTTTGGCAAATTTATGAAATGTATTAATAAAATACATTTTGGTTTTTAATGGAATTTAAATGTATAAAAAATCGACCAACTGCAGTAGTATATACATTTTCTACAAAATCAAGTGAAATTTAAAATACCGGTGAGTCCACACCGAATTAGAGTTTACTTGAAACCAATTTGAAATTATATGCTAATTTAATTCTGGGACTATTGGCCTGGGTCACGGAGTTGGACGTTTGATGACCCAAGTAAACGTCAAAGATAATTTTGGTCTTGAATAATTTAAACTGTAAGTGCCATTCAATGAACTTTTTGTCAATATTGTTTGGACAGTCATGAAAGTTTAATAAGGAGAGTTAGCGTTTACTAGTTTTAGTCTGAAAGCTAATCCAGAAACTAAGTACTTATGCAACTGTGTTTAGAAAATTAATTTGTACAGAACAGCCGGAGAGTATTGATCCGTTTTTTAAATTGATCCTTTTTGCATTATAATATTATCAAAAATATCCTATTATGTGCATATTTGTATACAAACTATGCACTATAATTGCAATATCGGCTATCTGTAAAAATCAATTAATCTAATCTAACATATTGTTGGTTGCCATAAAATCTGACCTCACCACTTTTGAACATTCACTTGTCCAACTTTATGACGTGCGGGAGTAGTGTAGTTAAATTCACATGTTATATTGGCAGAATCAAATAAAACATGCAAGTTAGGACACTAACGAAATAGTATCGTTTTTCACTTAAGCGCGTAAAAAAAATTAACAACGTATCTTTTTTAACTATAAAGAGAAGCTTTGAAAGTATTGGTTTTATAATGATATGTATTTTTTGGTTCCTTATATAGTTTATGTGTCTGAAACTTTTGAACCGATTTCTTCGATGACGATTTCCACGAAAGATTTCTCATTCTGTTGACTAATTATTTAAATTGTTCATAAGATTATAATCGATGAGGTAATAACAACGGTGAGGATGTACATGGAGTACAAGGCAAAGTAACTTGCTAATGACAGCAATCCAAAAAAACAATATCCATAAAATACTTTCTACTTGAATACATTTAATCCATATGAAATTTAGTATTAATGAAAGATTTCAAATTAAAGTTGCTAAAACAACGTTACTTCGGTGTTCCCATTACTGAAGTATTTTTTAAATATTATGTGTTATTGTAAAGTAGTTTGTACATAAGTAATTTTAACACATGTGCTCTAAAATTAAGGTCCGGTTATTATACTTGATGTTATTCTGACAACACAGTTTTTTCAAAACTGAAAGACAAACCCTTGAGCATCGTAACCGGTAACTGATCGTATTTTTCGTTTTAATATTACATTATTGCTGTATTATGAATGTATTTTGTAGAGGGTATTAGCCGTACCCATGTGAAACAGACGTCATATTGAGAAGATTTTCGATGGGGATTTTTTTTTTCAGTAAACAGAATACCAAACTTACATTGAATAAAATTACCATCATTCGATGAATGGTTCCTTGAAAATTATCAGAGATGCAAACCAGAAAAGGCGACGAAAAAAGCTATCAAAAAGATTAGTATTCTACTTAGGTTATGGAATTCTGTGTACTATTTCGTTTAAACGTTCTATTAGGTACATGGCGATGACCCTGATAAGGGTCCGATCACTGGATACCTTCCCTACTCGTAGTCTCCAAGTCATTTATTTACATTGTTAACATATTTGCTTATTGTATATTTTTCTTTATGTACAGATTGTAAATGTTACTTAAAATTAAAATAATTAAATATTAAAAAAATTTCTATTTTAATTTTTTTAATACAATAAAGACAACAAATAATACAAGGACTATGACTAGTTTGTCGCACAGGATTTTTATTAACATCGACATAGATAAATACTGTGGATTATAAAAGGAGAAAATAATTAAAATCTAATTTTCATATAACTTGCATTATAATAGATAATACACTCTCTGCGTATACGTATTTCGGCAACAATGTTGTCATCTTCAGCAAATTTGTTTTCCCTAGAACCTTATTTATATTTTCATTTCATCATGTCCGTATGCATCGAAGCGTTTATTTAAAATTTAATTTATCAGTTTCAGTAATAATTTCTAAAAACCTATGACCTCTCCGACTCCACTATGCCTCGACCCAACTGTGTTGGTATTTTTTTTTTTTTTTAACTGTAATCCGAAACTTTTATGCCGTTGATTTGTAGCTAAGGAATATTTTATTTTCGAAGTTTACTATATAACGATCCGCAGTCAATGCTCATTTTTGAAAATCGTTTTTGATTCGGTCGTTACAATTGTGCTTTCCGGGTTACCCTCACCCTCAAGTCGGTACATAAATAAAACGCACTTGTGTGTTTTATATTCCGCATGGGAATAACGCGCGCGCGTGTGTATGTGTGTGTGCAATCGCTTAGGTATAGAAAGAGAATAGTTTCTTTTATCGAAGCATAAAAAAGAACAGTTCGGATTCCTTATCAATAATGGGTCAAGTACCGAGGGGGTTCATTTGCGTTTTTAACAATATATATGTGACTTCGGGTGGTAAGTATAGAATTGGCAAAAATCAAAACCCAAAAGCGCCCCTGTACCATATCGAATATCTGTGTACATTTGGGTGAAGCGAAACAGTATGTATGACGTTTCTTTTGTTTATATAACAGAATAGTTATCACAATTTTGCTATAGTTGTAAAATCCCATAAAAATTTATATTTTTGTTTTATTCATAGGTTTCGAGGTGCAACATTGCGTTTAGTAGTACTTTTAATAGTTAAACGAATGGTTTCTCGATTATTTATATGAACTTTACCAAGTCAGTTTAGTAGTTTCTTCAAAATTTAGAAGTTGTATGACTTTTATATCCATTATTTCCTTCAATTCCAGTTAAAACAGTTAATACACTCCATTAATAACTTTTGATAATCGCAAATCAATAACTAAAGACAAAAACGTTTCCGTAATTATTGTTTACAAATAATGAATTTTAATCGATAAAACTTAGTTATGAATGATTCTTTAATGATAACTTAGCGTTAAAAAATGAATAATAAATTCCAGTATAAACTTATCACTCTTACGAAAAACTGTCGACGATTTTTAAATCTATTCATAACAAAAGCCTGAACTAACAATTCCATTTTTGTTTTTTATTATCATAGAAAATTAGCCTGGACAACAAAGTCTATTACTACAATGACTGAAAATGGAATGTTTTTAATTAATTTTTTTTTATATAAAATTTATATTGTTACACATAAAAATACCTATTTTTATTTAAAAGTAATGATAGAAACATTTTTTTGCCACAGTCGGATTAGTTTTAGAATGTGCCAGATGGTAAATATAGTATGTTTATGAAAACGTTAAAAGAAGGAAATTTGTACATACCTTTTAAAATAATTAAAATCTTAAAATCGAAAAAAACTTTAAATATATTTTAAAACAATTGTGTTTTTAATTGAAAGTTCCACCCTACACGTGTAAACGAATATTTTGTTTATATTGTTACTCGGTTTTTTATTAAGTAATGCGATATAATTATTTTTTACAACACCATTAATTTATTTTTATTATATGTATATATTGTTTTGTTTATTACTTGACTGTATGTTTAAATGTCTAAATAATAATAACAGACCATGTTTTTAAATTATCTAAGAAAAAAATAAATATTTTATACTATAAACGAATGTAATTTCAAAGATAATTTGTTCTAAACATTTTTATTAATTTTAAATAAATCTGAAAACATCCGAGATAGTTTTTTTATCTGTAAATAATAAATAAACCAATTTTTACCTTTTTGTTTATTGAGTTATAAATTATAATTTATAGTGTTATTCGCGAGTAAACTAATTATGTACTATTCGTCAAATTATTTATTGTCTTGTTTTAATTTTATCCAACTCTGAAGATAATATTATAGGATGTAAGTCTGACGATATTGCCAAATACTATTTCCTCACAGAGTCATGTCGGGCCGGATTGAGTGATTGTCCCGTTCAACATTGACCGCACTGGCTGGGTATTAAATGAAAAATTAAACAACTCGAAAATCGACACATGGCAGTGGTATTTTGGTAAAATAAAAAATGATTAAACCGAAAAACAAACGAAAGATCAAATAGCACATGCGTGTGGTGCCGCCCACCGAACGAGTAGGAAGTCGCCTGACCAAGTCTCGCCGCCTGCCGTGGCCGTTAGTGCTTTGAACCAACGTCGGGTTGTAAGTCCACCCTATGTGCTTGCCTGGGACGACTGTCGGTATTTATATCGTAACACGTGTTTCGACCTGTGTCGGTTGAAGTTTAAAAAATTAAAAAAAAAAAAACACAAACTGCGAGCTAAAGTATATATCTAAACCGTTTCGCCTAACCAAAATATACTTATGGAGTACTCGTTTGGTTAGAAACTTTATCTGACAATTAAGGCCATGTTGTTGTTTAGTCAAAGACCAGATCGGTACCTCGTCATTTGGCTGTTTCAAATACTGACCGTCATATGTGCAGGTAAGTCTTCGTGAACAATTTTAAAATATGAACGTGGGAATCACGTTAAATCAAATTAAATAGTATTTTAAGATTTTTAAAAAATGTATACATAAAATTACCATAATCGTGTAGCTTAGCGAGCCATAATGTGATGGTTCAATAAAATAATAATTTTTGATAAAAAAATAACTTTATCAAAACACTGATCTAACAAGTGAAAACGTTCATTAAAATTTAACTTTATCGTTTAGATAAAGTGAGTTTTCACATAAAATGTTGACTCTTGATCGATACGTTACACTTTAACGGAAACTGATAAATTCATACAGTTTCCGAACGACATAAAACGAAAAAATTATGTTTTGTGGAACTTAAGTTTACTCTTTTTTATTTATACAGTTTACTTGCGTTTTACAAAAACTGATAAAAATTAAAATTGCGATTTTATATCATTGAAAGGTAATTTGAGTTATTTCAAAATAAATCTACTGCACTGCCAAACACTATGTCTTTTTCATAATTATGCTTCCTTATTTCTATCCAAATCGTCTTATGAAACATATTGTGTTGTTTTCCAAATCAACCATTCGTTAGTTCCCTTATCCGCGTTTTCATAAATAATTCTCCCGTCTTTTATTTTTTGTTCTTCATATTTTAATTTGGATTATTTATACATTTTCCCTTTTGGTGTTTTCTTATTTAATTTGAATGTACTGGTAATCCCGTGATTAGTCCTAACATCCTGGAATAATAATACCTTTATTGTTTCACTTCTTTGTATTACTACACAAAGTTTAGACTTATTCTGGTAACCTATGATAGTACCCAATAGATACTAGCCGGCTGACCCCAAACTTCCACTTTTTTTATACCTACTCAGAGTGAGACAAAAATACATAGGGTTAGGATTTAATATTAGACATTTAAAATATCTTGCTTAAACCCACCCTAGAGATTAAAAAACTGCTATTAGTCGATATGAAATTTGAATTTGGGTTGGAATAACTGCCAGTAATCGAAAGTCGAATTGGTGACTATGCTTAACAATTGTCTTTGTTGGTTGTTTAAATCAATACAGTCAAAGTATGATCACAGTACCAATTAACATGCCAAGTCGTAAAACTTTATATTATAATATGTGGATTGTTTGGCGAAACGTACTTTTAAAATAATGCGCTCAAGTTGTGAAGATGAATTACAACAAGTGTTTTATCATAAATGAAAAGGTAAAAAGGGAAACAAAACTTTTTTCAGTACACTGTCGTCATTGTTATAAGAAAAAAGCACTCAAGGCATAATGATTACAAGGTATAAAAGATGCCGGTTAAAAAGGTGTGCAGTTATTAAAAAAATAGCAATGCCGCGTTATGTACCAAGTTTTTTCCGTAGGAAATACACATATATATGAATCCTAACCACTTTCAAAAACTCTATAACACTAAATATAAATAGGTTTTACCAGATTAACTTTTATACGAACAAACAAAATGAACGTGCTGCGTAGGAATGGATTTTAATCTAAAAAGTTATTAAATTTTATGTAATTAATATAGCTGTTGTTTCACAAGTCATTATTTCAATAGCCTCAATGATACTTGTGTGAAAAAAACAAGAATAATTTCCACTCCACATTTTGTTTTAAACATTTATTAAATAATTAATTTGGTAGACGGTAAAATATAAATAAGCACGCCGCTAATTAATATTGTATATAAATAAGTGTACAAGCAAATGGTCGATAATTTATAAATAACTCAAGACATATTACTCAAGACAATTTTATTTTGTCCCTGAGAAATATTATTTTATTTTTACAACTTTACCGGCGTTCTTGATTATGTATTGACCGAGAATCAACTAATATTAAGAATATTAGCGAAAACTTGAAATATATCTATACTGGCGGATAAATTAGCAATTTAGATTACTTACATAAGTTATCATTCATTATTGCTCAATACACTTAGTGAGACTAAAACACTAAAAGTAATTTTCAATTCAGTTTTATTGTAAAATTATTAATTACTATTTGTAGCACTTATTCATGTTTTAATATTTCAATATTTTACAAATAAGTATAGATTTCAAAAAACTCTTATAAGGCGGTAAAGAATTTGGTAATGTGGATAAATTCAAAAACTTGGATTTAGCTCATTTGACCCGTACAAAATATTTAGACTTATATTTCTAGAAACTCTCTCGTCTTCATTTTTAAAATTTAATTTTTTTTAGACGACAGATGTCGTTTTTCTTTTTAAATCATACTTGCAACTATGATATTGTTTTTCGAAATATGTTAGACAAATGTGTTTAGTTTAAAACAAAATTTACATTTACTAAAGAACTCAAATCTCAATATAATATTCACAGCTCAAAACAAATGAATATTATTATTTTACTTAGAGTGAAATCATGTATCTAACAGTTGCACAACAATAACATGGCGCACTATCTATGTACTTTATCCTAAGTTTAGATTGTTGAGTATCTAGTTTGAACATAATAATATTGTCTTCGTCGAGATTAAATACTATTGAATCACACAAGCGCGTCAGACGATTCAAGAGCTTTTAATGAAGTTTCAAACACACAAAGACAACATTTCCTTTACGCTCGATCTACTATTATAACAACATGGCAACACCTTATGTCTTATTATATTTAAAATCGGTTTTAATCTGGTATCAGATTGTACCAGGTACCTGGTATAAGTTCAATTTGTGGCTGTACTAGTGTACGCACGTTTTGAAAAGTCTAGAGGTAAAAACCCAAATTACAAAACAAAACTTGATTTTGAGAATACGGACGAAAAAATGAAGTAAAGTAAAATTGTCTACAAAATACCTACATTTTATCGTTTTTTTCGGCTTTAACAGGGGTCTACCCTAAATATGAATGGACGTAGTCTTTCCTTTAAAGTTTAAAGGTACAAAATCCCACTGCTAACTTATTTTCGAAAAATGTACCATATAGTGATTTCACTTAGTGGGCCTTTCTTTTTTGTCAACATGAACCGTTATTATGTAAAAATATATTATTTCAGACATTTAAGTTAGACTAAAGATTTTTCTGAAACTATGTATTAAATATTTTTTAGGTAAACACTAGATCTCCAAACAAAGTGAAACAAAGAAACTTTCATCACCCTTTCTAGGGTATAGGGCTTGAGATATTTTGTATTGGTAGGTTTAATATATATTATACAATAATGTACAACCTTTCCGCGCTAATTTTAAATATTAACTTTGAACCTACTCGCACTGTCTGTACTTAAAATACATACTTTAAAGTCAGAAACATGTTTACTATTAGGAGGTGGTTTTTCTCGGTATTGAAGGGAAATTGTAGTACTTCCAACTTTGGGCTTCATGAAGTACTTTCGGGGAACTCGATTTCTGATGTATGAGCTGATTACATGAAGACCTCGGCATTGTGGTTAAAGATTTATTATGGATCTAAGCGGGAAAATATAAATATAAAATTTTTTGTTAAACCAATACCTAGTCAGAGCTCCACATTGAAGCTATTACTCGGATAGCGAACAATTTAATGTTTTATATTTCTTAACAAAAAAAAAAATTTCATTCAAGTCCAAATGCTTTACACCGGCCACGGTTACTATATTCAGTATGTTGAACGCAATTGCATTGAAAGCTTTGCAAAACGATACCCGTTCGTTAAGACCATATTATAAGATCTACATGTATCACATATAGTGCGTATAAACGGCTAATATCATACAGGTAGCCGCGTATACATAATTATTATTGCTATTATTAATCGTGCTTAAATTTTAAAACCATCTTTTGTTATAGCACATATACACATTGAGATAACGTACCTACGGTATTTTCTGTTTTTAAACTGCCGTTAACCGGAAAAGAACCGGGTCGTTTCCTCGGCAGTCCCCGGGGACGAAATCGCACATAGGCGAATATTGTATAATATTTCTCGCGTACTTGCCGCCGAGTTTTGCCCCCATCTGCCGTGTAGCGTACATGCAGTTCTTAAGGATTAAAATAGTTACCCCTTTCTCGGCCGGGGCAATAAGACGACCGTGCAGTTTGTTCAGCCGCGGTACCTATACCCGCCGAGCCGCGGTTAATCTGTTTGCCGACCAACCCCCACGTGTACAAACAATAATATATATATATATACAATAAAAGCGGCCAGTGTTGACAGTGTGAGCCGGAAATTTCAGGTATCTTCAGGCCACTTCAATATATATATATATATGTATATACATATAGAATAAAGTATAGCGTTGTGTTTACTCTCAGACGGAATACAAACCGTGGCCGGGAATTATAATCCTCTGGCCGCGTTCGCCGCGCGTCGTCACCGTCGCCGGCGTCGTTTTGAGCGCAAATAATAATCACAATAATTGCATTTTTGTATTAATTATAAAAAAAACGAGAAGAACGCTTAAGACGGTAGAGTAAAAAAACCCGCTTTGGAAATTCGACAGACGACGGCGACCGTCGGTTATTCCTCGGATTGTTTAACAATCACGTTCCCGTATAATCTGAACATCAATAGGAATATAATTGAACGACTGCGGCGACCGAGTACAAACCGAGACGTCTTTCGAGTGGAAAACGAAATTAAACACTTTTAACGTAACACTGTATACATTATCGCCATTATAATAAGTGGCCGCTGACGACGGCACGGGCGATACAGTAAAAACAAATATATATTATAGCAAAACGCACAACCGGAACAGTTCGATTGTGTGAACAAACGACTTCAACGGGAAAGTTCATAAAACTGCATGAACTGAATAATTTATTCTAATAAGTCGTCAGTCTTGCACGCATAAAAAAAAAGGCCTATTTATAAGTACACTAAAAATGTTATTGACTTGTTTTACAATTATAGCTGTTTACAACCAACCAAACAAATACTTTTCAAACATTATCGCGATTAGTATCGAAATATTAATTTTATACTTTGCTGTCTGAGATATTATTCAAATGTTTTTTTTCTATAATTTATTCGAATAATTTTCAAACCAT